ATATGAGTTGGCTGAGTTGAGCTGAGTGGGAGTGAGTCAGTGAGTGAGCTGAGCTGAGTGGGTAGTCTTAGGTTTAAGTGGGCTGAGTGGCTGAGTTGACTGAGTCGGGGCGAGTTGAACTGAGTTAGGGCTGAGTGGCTTTATTTGAGTGAGGATAAGAGGGGGATCGGGCAGAGTGGAGAGGAGCTCGACGGGTTCGGCCAGGTAGAGTTCGGTGGAGAGCTTGCTCGTGGGATTTGCGAACGAGAGAGGGGGCTCGGGCTGGAGTCGGAGGAGGCAAGGTAGGTCGGTTTCTCTCCCTTTCCCTCTCTCTCTCTCAGCCGACGGGTATGGGTGCGGGATGTGGAGGTGGCTCGGGATGTGAGGCTTAGATCGGAGACTTGGGAAGGAAGTTGGAGGTCGGTCGTTGGGAGTGGAAGAGAGCAGTTCGAACGGGAGAAGAGATCGTGAGCGTGGGAGAGTTTCGTGTGAGCAGCCAAAAGAGCGGCTTCTTCGTCTCCTATTTAACGACACAAAAAGAGTCCGATTCAACGGAACTCCTGCAGGAATCGCGGAGAAGCGACACTAGCGGCGCCGATTTCAGCTGGATTTGTGGCAGAATTCGTGGATCCCATGGATTACAGCCGGTATGCATTCGTTTCATTCAATTTTGGATATTATATGGAGGTTAACAAGCATTATAGGATTTTGATGTCGAGAAAAGTATAACTAGAATAATATTTTTGGTTCAGTAGCATAACAGTTGTTTAGACAATAAATCCTTATATTAATAAGCGTAACTCTATGAATAGTTTAAAAGATTTGTATGCATAAACAAATTATTTTTTGAAAAACTATGAGTACAAAGAATTCTATAGTTCAATTTCTTTGAGGTTCAACATCTATAACATCAGGATTCATTGTAAATATAGCAAAAATACACTCTGAATTAGTAAATTGACATCAGAAACATAATTACAAACAAAAGAATGATTTGAACGTACATCAAGTGTTTGCGACAATCCAATTTCATGAATATCATCATACAAAAAATCAAAGTCGTAATGACTATTTCAGTTATAATATTGATCAAACCAATTAAATCACTTTATCAAATTGCTTAGTCACTTAATCCTAGCAAACTAAGAGCACACTAGATTCCCACAAAGAGATTCTTCACATACCTGAAAGACTCCGTAGACAATATGAAATTTGAGAGTAAGAGCATGTCATCTGGATGGAGAGATGCTTTTTGAGCTCCAACAAGACTGACAACCTATATAGGTTAAAAAAAATCACATGACAATGCAATCAACTTGGAAAACTCACTCCAATCATGAACACAGGACCAAAATATTGGTGCATTTGTAATAGAAACTAATGTGAAGTATAATTACTACATTCAATAAGCAACGAAATGCAAGCCCAGTGTGTATAACGGTATAAGGATTGATTGTTCTATCTTAAGCAAACAAAACTTGAAGAAAAAACAAGTTTTACAAGATGAATAATCAAACAGTGATATAATCTTGAAAAAGATAACATGTTCTCCAATCACAAGAGCTAGTTCAAAGAAATAATTTTACAAAGCAGAAAAAATGACTTCTTACCATGAGCAAAGTGCAATCAAAAGTAGATTGCATTCTTAAATGTCTTTTAAGAAGATTAATGCGGACATCCGACGATGGATGATATTCAAAGGAAGAGTCGAAGATCGACAGGCGAGATCACTCCGTTTTATTTATTAATTGTATTTTGATTTAATTTTACAATTATTCTTTTTTACCCTTTTTATTTAAGAGTCTTGTCTTATGTAAGCCCAATGGGCAAATTTGTCTTTTAGTTTCTTTTGAGGCCTATATATAGAGGCTCCTTCTCTTGTATTAGGTAAGATGAAATTATAATAAGAATTTGTGTTCTGCACTTGTGTTCTTGTGGGAGAACGTTAGTGAGATTCCTATGAGAAGTAATCGGAGTTTTCACTAGCCGCAGGATGGGTCCGAGATCATGACTTGAATTCCCTTAGAGAAGGACAACATATCACCCGTCAGTCTTCGGAAGAGTCCAAAGCTCATGGTTTTGTCTTCTTTTTTTAATTATTCTCCTCATTTTCCTAACCGCCACTTCCCCATCTCTCTTTCTTCTATTGGCCGAAAACTCCACCCAAACCCTAGGCCAAAAGACATCCAACCGCCGGCCCAACCCCCTTCCCAAGGCCACCGGCCATCATCCATCCCTTGGCTCCAAGATTCAAAATCTGGCATTCAAATCCTTTCCTAAATTAGCTCCATTTAATTTTGGAAACTATTTAAATTCATATTCAGTTGAATTTGAATTTTACTTCCTAAATGAAGAAAACTATTTTAGGTTAGTCCTTCAAATCATGCAATTTTGAAATTTAAATAGGAGTTGATTTAAATCCACTTTCCTATTTTAAAATTCTAAATATAGCACATTTAACCCCTCATATCAATCACCCATAATCATGCTAGTTGTCAACCCTAACCCCGTTCCTATTTCCTATTTCCCTCCACTTTTCAAATTGATTATTGAAGGCATTCCTTATTTGATGCATCTTAAGTTTGGAAAGTTTTTAAATTCAAATTTAAATTAATTTGAATTTGAAATTCCTTCTTGAAATAGGATGAACTATATTAGGTGGCTTTCCTTAACTCTCTCAATTTGAATTTAATTAAACACCTGACATAATTCCTCTTTCCTTATCTTAATAATTCAATTTTGGAAATTCCTTAAGTCCACATTCATCATATGTGGATAGATTCACCGTATGTGGACGCCTTCCCTTTTTCCCCTCTTTTGGCCGACCCCCTTCGTTCTACATCAGAATGTTATGTTTATATCATTTAGTTACCAAAAAAAAAAAAACAATACAACTTCAAGACCACAACAAGAAAAACAACATCAAGCCTTTATTCCACTACGTGAGGTCAGCTACATGAATCATTTTTCTCCATTGTCTTGTTAAAAGTCAAGTTCTCATTTAAATCTAATAAAGAAATGTCATTTCTAAAATTTTCTAATCAATTCTATGTAGGTCTACCTCTACCTTTCCTAACATAAGCCAAATCTAATACATCTACTCCCCTAATCTGGTCATTGGAGGGCCACCATTTTATGTGACAAACCATCTAAGTAAAATCTCTCTAATCTTATCTTTCACTAGAGCTACTCCAACCTTTTCAGGTATATGCTCGTTCTGTATCCTATCTCTAAGAATAAAGCCACTTATCCATCTGAGAGCATCCTCATCTCTGCAACACTTAACTTAATATTATGTTTCTCTTTTAATTACCACCATTTTGCACCATAAAGCAATGCAGGTCTCACCACCATCTTATAGAATTTTCCCTTAAGTTTGAGGGGCACTTTTTAATTACACAACAAGCCCAATGCATTTGAATTCTACTAATAATATATCCATCAATTTCACCATCACTCTGAACAATAAACCTGAGATATCTAAAACGTGTACTCTTATTAATAACTTGATCGCCCAAAGTCATAGTCACCCCACTACATCTATTACTACTAAAATTGCACTCCATATATTTGACTTTAAATCTACTCAAATGAAAACCTTTAGACTCTAAGGTTGATCTCCATAATTCAAGTTTACTTTCAACTCCCTATCTAGTCTTATCAACAAGAAGAATATCATCAGGAAAAAAAAACTTACACCAGGGTAAATGTCTAGTGAGAACATCCATGACTAAAGCAAAAAGATATGAGCTTAAGGCTAATCCTTGATGTAATCCAACTGAAATAGGAAAATACTTGTGTTTGAACACAAGTAACAGCTCCTGCATACATATCTTTAATGATTTAAATATAAGCATTATTAACCCCTTTTTCTTTACTAGAACTCTCCATAGCACTTCTCTTGGAACTTTATCATATGTTTTTTTCTAAATCAATAAATATCATATGTAGATCCTCATTCTCTATATAATTCTCCCTTAAACCTCTTAATAAATGTATAGCTTCCATAGTAAACCTACCCGGTATGAATCCAATTTGATTTTGAGAAACATTAGTAACACATCATAACCTATGCTCCATAACTCTCTCCCATAATTTTAAAGTATGACACATTAACTTAATTCATCTATAATTCGCACAATCTTGTGCATCACTTTTTTTCTTAAAAATAGGAATCAACACACTCATTCTTGTTAGATGTTGGTTATTATTTTAAATATTAATTCTGTTTTTACTTTAAGTCTTTGTTTTAGGCTATTTTACTTTTTAACCCTTTTGGATTGTTTAGTATAAATAGGAGTGACTTGTAAGAGATGTGAATGAATAAAATTCAATTTTATTTTTCTTCCAAAAACTATGAGCTCTATCCCTCTCTCTCCAGCAGAGAGTTGTTGGCTCTCAGTCCATGCAGGAAAACCACGCTGCGGTGGTGCCAAAGGGAGACCAACAGTGGAAGAGAGCAAGGAGTTGTTGTTGGACCGACGGTGCCAAAGGGAGATCAACAGTGGAAGAGAGCAAGGAGTTGTTGTTGGACCGACGATGCAGGAAATCAATATCTCTTCTAGGTTTGTTTTTCCAACAATTCTCTACTTATAGATTAGTAACTGCTTAACACCGCTATATCATCATAAATGGTTATCAGAATTTTTAAATACAAAGCAGTGAGATGAATTTCAGACCTCAAGCTCAAGTGTATCACAATGCGCAAAGGTCTTAAATATAAGAATCCTAAATATGAAGCTCTTCAATCAGCTTTCCATCTGACATGAAACTTCAGCTATAAAATTTTAAACGGACTAACAACTCAATTAATGATCGTTTGAAAAGAAAGTTTGCAGGGCAGGGAGCGAAAAAAGAAACAGGGTAAAAGACTTTCTACTAACTTTATGCCTGCACATCAATATTGCAAATAGAACACCGGAGTCAGCAACATCCTGCAGTATTGCAACGGCAGCTTGTCTTGTGGAATAAGCAAGCGGGAGGCATGTGTATGCATGGAGAAATGTGGCAGGATTCCTATAAACAATGAAAATCAATAAGAGAAACATCAGATGGGTAAATTAGTAATTTATGCTAAATGAGGAGGTATGATAGTAAATAATAACACTGATTTCTTATTAAACCTAGAAACAAAAAGCATGGGACAGTAAAAATACCTCATTAAAGCAAACAGGGAACAAGAAAATTCAGCAAGCAAGAATTTTACTTGCTTGAAAAGAAAACAGGCCCTTCTTTCGATATTCAAGGCCCATGTTTTCATCATCCAGAACAGAAAACAATGACTTTTAATCAGTTTTTACTTTTTAGCTCCATATCTGATAGACCACTTTTCAAATGAGCCCAAAAAAGACAACTAAAAAATAAAGTACTTTATGGATGTAATCAGCATAACTAAGTTTTCTATACAAATTTTTTTTTTTTTAAAAAGCGCCTATTCACTTCAACATGAATGGTTTTGCAATGGCTTTCTTGGAAGCCTGATGGGGACATCAGCTCGTGGAAGGTTTATCAGAGGCGTAGCTGCCGATCTACGGCCAAGATCTAGTCCTTATATTTCTGAGTATTTATGTTATTCATGTATTTTTCTATTTGCATGTGTCATGTATTTGTTTTTATTATTTTTTCCAGTTGTACCATTTTAATGGGGAATGTCGTATGTAAGCCCAAAGGGCAATATTGTCTTTTCTTTTCTTGAGTCCATGTACTTGGCTATTTATAGCCTCATGCCTTGTGTTTTGAAGTTAATGAATGATTATGAAAATTTTCTTGCACTTGTTCTTGAAGCTTAAGAGAGAGCTTGAGAGAGAGAGAGTTAAAGAGCTTGGTGGAGCCTAAGGATAATCCACCCGTCATACCCAACAATCACCACCGATGGCTCTTGGTTCTCCTTCCCTTTCCCTCCCTTCCCATTACCACCACCACCGGCCAACCTCCCTTCTCACCCGACTTCCCCCCTTCTTCCCTTAACAATCCCACGGCAACCCTTACCCGAGCCCATGCCGCCGGCCATATCCTCCTAGCTGCCGGCCTCCCTTGGGTTTCCCTTCCCTCCCCTTCTTTCCTTTATTTCCTAGTATGGATTGAATATAATTGGGAAGAATTTTGAACTCAAATCCAAATGATTTAAAATTCAAAATATTTCCTAATATACAAAATTTATTTTAGGAAAGTCTTAAAAAAAATCAATTTACATTGATTGGATTTTTATTTGCCTTCCCTAATTTATGAATCCCAAGTTAGCAAG